TCAAGTAAAGGTTGCTATAGTTTACCCCAGTCGTAATTTGCTATTCCAACACCTCACGACAAGCAATCCCCATTGGCATAACGGCAAAAACATGTCTTCCTTCAAGTAAACAAAAAACAGTCTGTTCTTGTTCCATTTGTAATCGAAAAAAGTGATCAATTTTCAAATTTTAAGCTTATCGGGAGCCCTTGTCTATGCCTTTGTGATGAATCACTGTTCCCTGGGGCTTGCACGCGGGCTAGGTTAATTAATTACCGATCACCTCAGCTAGCCAATGGGAATTTAGCCGGCGGTTCGGCCGGCGAAAATCGAAAACATGGGGTGATGCTTGCAGGCCCACTATCAGTTCCCTTGGGCCTGCACGCAGGCTAGAATTTCCTTTATTTTGATAATTTAGATCCAGGGCCTTTTCATGACATGCAAGACTCTTCTCGTCTTCTCCATACTCTCCATAGATTATGCCTTGAAAGTCAAGACAATCCGAATATTTCGGACTATCCTTGGGAATCAATTCCAGCCACTCCAAGGCTTTAGGGAAATTTTGCAAGCGATAATAGAGAACTCCCTTTACAAATGCGTTCAAGGGAGGAAAGGCATGCTTCCGAAAAATACTGGTGTCGATTTCGTACAATCGAAAATACTTCAACGTGAAGTAAAGACAGCGTTTACTAATATCAGTGCTTGAGCTTAGGAGACGGACTACAGTATCCTCATCAAAATCGACAAATGTAGTGTCATCGATGGATTGTTCCGTGTTGCTCAAAGGAACGGGAGAGAATACTTCTTTCTGTCCATTATTTCCAATGCACGTTTTCAGCCGTATTTCGTTAGCAATCGATAAACACACTTTAAACCTAGCATTTTCCGATTCATCGATGATTTTCTGGGACACCAACTCAGAAATTACTTGCCAAGGTGAGGGAGATCTTATGTCAAATATCAGTCCCAAATCTGAAAGAAGTAGCGAGATGAGACGATAGAACTCCTTCTTCGCATCAAATATACCTCCAGTGTCAAGACTTGCTCCTAGATGGGAACCAAAGGGTGCATATGTGTCGTTATCATCCCTCATTTGACGAATTCCTCGCATGCAGCCAATTGTCGGATTCGTTTTGCCTTTTACTACACGTGATTTAGTAGTTAATTTTTCAGTCACACGGTCGTTGTATTCGTCCAGTAATACTTGCATTCCACAAAATAATGAAGTCCTGGACACAATATCCGCTAAATATAATAAAAATAGTACTTAATATAAAATAAACTAAATATAAAACAAACTTTGCATGGTAACCTGAAGAAAATAAATTAACAGCTAGTACATTGAGGTTTAAGATGGCTAGAAATAACATCTTCAGGGTAAGGGATGAAGTTAACCTTTCGTTTAGCAGGAATTTTTCCCGTAACGAGTAATGTTCCATTAGTAAAGAAAGCCAATGATGCTACTGGTGAAAGCAACTGAATGCTGACTAGCGTAAAGAGAGTACTAAGCCTCTAAGCCCCTTAACTGCTTGTGTACCTAGAGCCAAAAAATGTCTGAAGTACAGAAGAGAATAATTAGTCGGCGTTTTGACCCATAGAAATCAAACAACCATGCATGACTGTCACCATGTATAAGATAGATCACCTTACCTAAATGGTAACCTTCTTTTAAAGCAAATTCTTCATCTTGAAATTCAGCCATTTGTTCTGGTGTTCTGATCAACTCTAATGCAGGTTTATTCTTGGTTGCCATTCTTCCCAGCGGGGTTTTGGACGCCCATGGCATTGCTCCATCAAACGAAATTCCTCGAGGCGTTTCCGAGTCATGAAACCAAATGCCATTCGGATTCGATGACTGAAAATCGTTGAGCTCTTCAATCCCCAAAGATGGTAGGATAGTCTCCCCAAGATTGACGACTTTCAAATGAAGAAAATGGGTCAGTACTCGAAAGTAACTTATCTTGTCCCCTATAGTTGGGTCTGAGTATAGGATGACAAATTCCAAATCTAAAAAGGGTGTTGCTTCGACTCGCGCTACTGAACCAAGAGCAATAATGGCATAGCCACATGGTGGTTGGCCAATTCTGCTTTCACATTCTTTCGCTAACATTGATACTAGCCTGACGAACATATCTTGAATGTCTTGAAAAACTTCATGCATCTTATCTGCTTTGATCTGAAACAGAACCAATTGATATTTGTTCAATAACACAGAACGAGAAAACAGTTTGATTGTTATTTTAGTTTGTTACGAATATTTACCAAGAATTTCAATTTACGCCATACACGACCTATACCATTGGCTACAAGATAGATTGAAAAAAAAACGCGCACCTCCCCACAGCTAGAGATAATACATAATTATATGTCATGTTCAATTCAACCAATGCTTACATCATCATAGTTATAAATTTTACCAGTACATCTGTAAATAAGTTGTTTGAAAAAAAAATTAATAAATAATGGAAGGGAAGTGCTGTTCTTTTGGAAAAAATCAGGATCAAAGTATATAAATTGATCCTGATCTAGATACTCAATGGGTCAGTCAATTCCACTAGTTGAATATCTATTACAAATAGTTGGTCTCCAAACCAACTAGGATTCAATGTACCCAACAAGTTGACTGATCTAAACGGGGCTCTACTTGTTTCCCTGTTACTGCGCTTCCCAGTTGAGTTTGGAACGGCAATAGTTTTGTCGAAAGCTTTGTAGTCTCAAAACAATAGTTTGTGACGTCAGTTGTGAATGTTGTCAAGGCGGGTCGACACGTTGTCAAGATGTTTGATTTCTTGTTTTGATAACAAATGTATTTAACGTTAACGGTTTTTACGCTGAAATACGGAGTGCAAGCTCTCAAGTATAGGACTAAATGCCTTAAAATATATGAACACAATTTACCAGGCAATTGGGACCATATTGCACCTTATTTGTTTAGTTCCATCCCATATTTCAACGTAAAAGCCGTTAAAGTGAAAACAACAATTCAAACGTCTCGACAACGTGTTGACTCCGTCTATTGTCGTTCCAAACTCAACCTAGGCCTGGAAGCGCAGTACTTAGAGGCCCATCTGTTCCTCTAGAAAAACTTACAGTGACATGTAACCACGGTGTTGGATTGGTTATCTACCCTGCCTCGTACCCAGGCACTGCTATTGTGTTATATTTAACAAATATAAAACATTTTCCGTGTTGATATACAGTTATATCAACACGAGTGGAATTTGGGAAAACGAGAAATTGTGTAGAAACACGACGCCCGAAGCGCGGAGTGTTTTCACACAATTTCGAGTTTTCCCAACTTCCACGAGTGTTGATATAACTATATATCAATACGGAAAAATGTTTTATATTTGTTTTATAATATAGCAATGTCAAAAGCCCGAAGAATAAGAAGAATTTCCGTGTTAACAAGCGGCGGAAAATTTCCCCTGTTGATCAGCGTTCAGAATTTACAAATGCTATATTATAAAATATTATAAAGCTATTCAGATATTATATATAGACCAGTGGCTAAGCCAAGCGAGCGCGCGGGGCTGCTTGGGGAGGACGCGACGGGAGAACGGAGCGTCTGGCAGAATATGGTCGATATCAATGTGATTCTTAAAATTAAGCGTTTTTTCACCTTATTCTTAATTGCCAAAATCTTTTGTTGCTATGGACAGCATAGAAACAAACTCACCACATGGAGGTTTTTATCAATAATTTTGTTACATTTTCAGCGTTAAAGGCCTTTTACGTAATAAATATGTCCTTGTCATCTTGTGTATAACTGCCATTTACGTTTATAGAAACTTTATACGTTTCCCAATTTAATTCTGACTGTTTGCCTGATGAGATGAACGAGTTTGAAGCATGAAATAGATTTCAATTGCGAATTATATATAACGGTTTTGTCATTTATTTTGACCGCGTTAAATTAGCATGTTTTTACGTTAAAACTTTGTTTGGCGGATTTGTTTCATTCGATTGAGTAAACTATGAAGTACTTGTTGTGATAAACGACGGAAAATACATATATCTCCAAGAAAAATGAGAAATGTTTTTGAATAAGTCAAGAATATCCAACATGAGCTCGACCTTTGAATTTACTATATGAGTAAATTCTTAAACACGTCCGAATTTATCATTATGATAAATTCCCGGCAAATTTTGAATTTATCATAATAATAAATTCGCGGCATCTAACCCCTAACCCTAACCCCAACCACTAACCCCTAACCACTAACCCTTAACCCTAACTTTTTAAACTTTTTTGAAAATCTAACTTTTTAAACTTTTTTTTTTCTTTTTAAAACTGTTTTAAAACTTTTTAAAAACTTTTTTAAAAATTATTTTTGGAAAATCTTGAAAATGTCATAATGATAAATTTGGACGTGTTTAAGAATTTAATCATATAGTAAATTCAAAGGTGGAGCTCATGTTGAAATGCAGCTATTTATATGTCAAAATTTACGTTAATCTTTAATCTATGTAGCAAAAGTTATTTGAGCGTGCAGCTAGGTATAGAAATAAAAAAAGATTTATTTTTTGCGGCGCAAAGGTATTTAGGTTCACTTATTATTTACTTCCCTCGCTCCCAGTAAATAACACTGAAATAAGTGTTAATTATCCCACAGAAATAAAGTCACAGACAGTACTCCTTAAATTAGTCAGCGGCTGTTACCAATCAAAACAAGGAATAAAGTTTAAAAATAATTATGAATATTATATCTCAAATTCAAATTGTCCAATGAAAAAACAGCATTTGTACCACGTGATAATGTGATTTTTTACGGTATTTCACTCAAATTCATGATTTCGCAATGCAGCGTGAGGATATTATAGTATCTACCGTGGGATATTATAGTATCTCACACATGACGCGTGGACACCACGCTCTGAAACAATATGGCGTTCGCGAGCTGATGTTTGTAATTTCGCACAGAAGATTTGATTTAACCAAAGAATTTCAAGACGTATATTACCTTTAATGATCCAAAGGATACATGCTCAAATATTCTAAAGAGGAAACGTCGAAAATTCAAGTATACACAAGAAAATAAAAATTGTATTCGCATAGTTAATATTCGGCAAGTTTTAAAGTTTATTCTGAACTTAGTGAGTTCTTTAACTTTCGGTATAATATATCATTTATAGACCCTCTGCTCGGGAAATTCGGCGTAATATTTCCCTCAGTGATGACATCTTCCTCGGGGCAAAGCCCCTCAGAAAATATGATCACTTCCACCACATAAATATTTCTAATTTATAAATACCTCATATTGTTCCTCAGTTTTATCATTTGTTTTAAACCAGGAATCAATTTCATCAACACGCTCTTTGATGACCCGTCTCTCGTCCGCAATCCATTCCTTATGAGAGCTTATTTCATTCCGAATCTCATCTTGAGTCATCTAGTTTCATCATTTGCTATAGTCAACAGAAGTTCGCGATAGGTCTCAATGATTCCTCGAAGTATTTCGTTTCATCATTAACAACTCTTGATCTTACAAGAGCAGCGTTGAAAAGCCCGGCGGCTTTTGTGAAATCAGCTCCATTTGCTGTTGTCTTAGCCGTGTTCAAATACCATTCACCAAGCTTCAGTAGAGGTGGCACTTGTTTTGAAACCTCGGTTCCAGCTGCTTTCAGTTGTTCTACGACAACCGATGTTCTTTCAGCCATTTAATTCAGAAATTCTCTTTTAGAGAAACTATATACTGGTGGAATATGTCAATAGTGTCAATTATGTCCATAATTGTCTATTTTTTAAACGTCAATTTCTGAAACCATGCACATTCGTCTGGTATACTGTTTGGCTTTATCGGTGTATCCTGTGGTTAGATGTTGAACAGCATGTGGCAAGCACATAATCTTTATAGAAGTATGATTTTGCATAAAGCTAACAATGCACTAGTTCGTGAAGCGAAAAGACCATGAAACGAGGTTAAAATTCTTTATTCAGAAAAGGCAAAACGTTTTAATACCCATCGAGCCAAGTCATCTTGGTTTAAACATTTCAGAAATCTTGTTAATACAGAACAAAGGGTTAATTAAGGACAATTTCGCTTACGTACTGCTTGTATCGCTAAAGCGTTAACTGTGATCAGTATGGTGCCAAATTTCTCAACTACCAGTCTACCATCGCCTGCTCTATCGAAACAGATCGGGAAATGGCACTGCTGCAAGGGCATTTTTTTATTAGCGAAAAACCTTTGACCTCAATGACCATTCCATGCTGATCACTAAATTTTTGGGCTTAGACATATGTCGTAGGGTTATTAATGTCTCACAGGCTATAGCCGAAATTTCCCGCCGCTCTGATTGGTCAAATTTTGGTTGGTTGTACATTATCCCGAACTGCTTCGTGGCGTGCGCGTGGAACAGCGTAATATCGTACACCGAAATATATCTGAAATCTGACGGTAATTTTGCAGGACTGTAATTCTTCTTCTATATAAGTCATTTAAATAAAAGTACCACGCTTTGATTCAGCGTTACAAGATCTCTTGATATAAAAACATTATTATTGATCTGTTACAAAATAGATCAACATTGTTGACAAATGCGTAAAATTTAATGCGTAAATTCGAACAACTAAGTATATATTTAGTAACATATTTATTTTTCAACACTTTGAGCGTGAACAAAGCATGGAACAAACATTCTCCTACTGTTCTTTAGTAAATTTGTTCTTGCATGAAATCATTCCCTACAACAACACTTTTATTATTCTCGTGTTCTGCTAAATTTGCGCCCAGGTGATATTATGCGTGCAAAATTTCGAGATAATGGCGAGGAGCCGAATTGCCTGCAATATAATGGTCGAAAATCCGGAATAAGTGTCTTTAGTATTTTTGCACAAATGAACATAACAAATCCTACAAATTGATTGGTCAAATTTGACTTATTAAGCTGTTATATTCACCTATAGCCAGGTGAATATAACAAAACCAAAATTTTCAAGATGGCGGCTAGCCGTTCTGTGGCCATTATACTGATAAAGAAATAAGCGAAATTAAAATAAATTCAGTCCCAAAAAACACAGCAAAAAATACTAATAAAAACAATTATTCGCCTCAGGCTCGGTGATTATCGGGGAATATTCACGTCGACTTCGTCTCGGCGAATATTCTCCAATAATCACCTCGCCTTCGGCGAATAATTGTTAAATAATCCGGAATCAACGAAATCCTCTCGAAAGTTTGTCCATCATTATTTCTAATTAATTTCTCAAGTAACCTTGGTAATGATAGGCGATAGCGATAAAACGAGTATCGATACCGAACGAATAGTATCGATACCATAGGCGTACGGGCTCTAAAATTTTGAGGGGGCAGACCATAGGCTGCCCGACTAGCGTCAGAGTTGCAAGTGTTGCTAGGTGGTCCGGGGGCATGCTCCCCGGGAATTTTAAGATTTAGAGTCTCTCAAATGCCGTTTCCTGCATTCTGCATTCTGGGGTGCGATTTTGCTCCAGTTTGTACTTATAGGCCGTGGGCCAAAATTATTTCACTTCGTGGCAACCCCTTGGAGAATTTATTTTCTGTGATTCAATGCATAGTTCCATGGATACTTCACTACCACAAAAAGTTCCCAAGCAAAAAACTTGCCAAACACCAAGAAAATGGGTGATCAGTGATTATCCCCTATTAAATTGTATTATAGCAAGAAAATGTGAAATTTTGTATTCAATTACAACAAAAATGACTTGCTTCATTAGAAAGCTTACAAAAGACCGCATATAGGACATTCAAACAGTTTTTTGATCCTTCAAAAAGTCTTCAAGTTATTGCTGTTTTAAATGTGAAAATTGGACCAAAATGTCGCAATAAGGACTGGGTACTACAATCGCGTGCAAAAATAATGAGACTTTTCACATTTTTGGCCATTTTGAAGTACGTTGGCCTCCCCCCTCCCCCCCATGATCAATGTTGGAGAAAGCGGGTTGAATTTAGTCTTTTCAGTCATTCACACAACATTGAATTGGGGGTGAGGGGAGCGTTTATGCGGTTGTCTCAATAATTTTTGCTCCTGATTGTAGCACCGTATTTGTGGGCAAATTGTCTATACAATTTTATACACTAGATATCACAGCCATACCTGCCATTTTGATCTTTTCCTCGCGTTAGATAAGTTGATAAGTACACTCATTCTTGTTAGCCATCGTACCTGTTCGGC